CTCTTTTTTTGGCATTTTAGGGCAATAAAATTGGAATTCCGCCTGATCTCTAGATTTTTGTGTGTTATAACCCACGCCTTCTGCATTGGCTCGGGTGACTGGACCCGGATCGTCTCCACCTCGCCATCACCGTTCCTCGTTTTTTGGCGAGTTAGCGCCATAAAACTAGAATTCCACCCAATTTTAGGATTTTCGTGTACTAGCCCACGCTTTCTGCATGGGCCCGAGCGACCAGCCCTGGTTCGCATAAAATTTTGTCGGACCATAAAAAATGACCTAAGGAACAAGTCACCACCTCGCCATGACCGTTACTTGTATTTGGCATTTTAGGGCTATAAAATTGAAATTCCGCCAGATTCCCAGATTTTCATGTACTATACCCAACGCCTTTAGCATGAGCTAGGGCGATCGGACCAGGATCACCTAAAATTTTGCTGGACCATCGAAACGACCTAAGGAATAATAGTCACAAACTCGCCCTGACCATTCCTCGTTTTTGTCAATTTAGACCATAAAACTTGAATTTCTCCCAATTCCTAGATATTCGTGTGTTATAGCCCACGCCTTATGCATGGGCTCGGGAGACCAGACCCGGAGCGCCCAATATTTTATCGGACTATACACGCGACATATGGAATAACAGTCACCGCCTCGTTATGACCGCTACTCGTGTTTTGGCATTTTTGGGCCATAAAATTGGAATTCCGCCCGACTCCCACATTTTCGAGTGTTATAGCCCACTTCTTCTACATGGGCCCGGCAACCAGACCTATCTAAAATCATATAAGGAAAAAAAGACCCCGCCTCACCATGACTGTTACTCGTTTTTGGCATTTTAGGGTCATAAAACTTGAATTTCGCCCGACTCCCAGATTTTAGTGTTCTATGGATCACACCTTCTACATGGGCCCGGACGACCGAACCTAGATCACCTAAAATTTTGCCGGCCCATCAAAAATGACTAAGGAACAATAGTCACCGCCTCGCCATGACCGTTCCTCGTTTTTTGGCATTTTAAGACCACAAAACTGGAAGACCACGAAAATCTGGGTATCGGGCCAAATTCCGGTTTTATTGATCTAAAACGCCAAAAAACGAGGAACGGCCATGGCAAGGAGATGACTATTGTTCCTTAGGTTGGTTTTGATGGGTCGACAAAATATTACGCGATCCAGGTCCGGTCGTCCGGAACCATGCCGATGGCGTGGGCTATAGCGCACGAAAATCTTGGAATCGGGCAAAATTCTAATTTTATGGCCCTAATACGCCAAAAATAAGGAATGGTCGTGGCGAGGCGATGACTATTGTTCCTTATGTCGTTTTTGATGGGCCGACCGAATTTTAGGCGATCCGGGTTCGGTCGCTCAGACCCATGCAGATGGCATGAGCTATAGCACAAGAAAATCTGGGAATTGGACAGAATTCTAGTTTTATGGCCCTAAACGCCAAAAAATGAGGAATGGTCATGGCGAGGCGATGACTATTGTTCCTTATATCGTTTTTGATGGGACGACAAAATTTTAGGCGATCCGGGTACGGTTGCCTGGACGCATGTAGATGGCGTGGGCTATAGCATACGAAACTTTGGGAATTAGGCGAAATTCCAGTTTGATGGCCCTGGAACGCCAAAATACGAGGAACCGTCATGGGGAGGTGATGACTGTTGTTCCTTAGATCGTTTTTATGGCCCACCAAACTTTTAGGCGATCCGGGTCCGGTCGCTCGGACCCATGCTGGCGTGGACTATAGCACTTAAAAATCTAGGAATCTCGCGGAACTCTAGTTTTATGGCCCTAAACGCCAGAAAACGAGAAACAATCATGGCGAAGCGATGACTACTGTTCCTTAAGTCGTTTTTGATGGGCCGTCAACATTTTAGGCGATTCGGGTCCGGTCGCTCGGACCCATGCAGATGACATAGGCTTTAGCACATAAAGATCTTGGAATCGGGAGGAATTCCAGTTTTATTGCCCTAAAATGCTCAAAAACAAGGCCCGGCCATGGCCAGGCGATGAATATTGTTCCTTAGGTCTTTCTTGATGGGCCGGCAAAATTTTAGGCGATCTGGATCCGGTTGCCCGGACCCATGCAGATGGTGTGGGCTAGAGCACACGAAAATCTGAGAATCGGGTGGAATTTCAATTTTATGATTCTAAAACGCCAAAAAACGAGGAACGGTCATGGCGAGACGATGACTATTATTCGTTAGGCCGCTTTTGATGGGCCGGCAAAATTTTAGGCGATTCGGGTCCAATTGCCCGAACCCATGCATATGGCGTGGGCTATAGAATCATCAGCTTACTTCCAAGAAGAACCAATTATGGGGAAGTGATTCTGGTATGTGTAAACTCAAAATTAAGCAAGCAAATATTTCATAAATGATAACAAAGTAACCCCAAAAAGGATCTTCTGAATCGTACATACACCAAAAAGATTAAAGAAGCTAATTTCAATTTATCAACAACACCATAATCATTTAGAATTATACATAAATCTATCTATATAGAATAGGAGAAGCAAAATCATGTTATTGTGCCAAGTGTCAGAATAGAAAATCAACATGTGTCCAATTTTAGGATAAACCTCCAACTAATTTGGAGGTTCAAAAATAATTTAAAATAAAAATTTAAAAATTTGCTAATTCAGTTTACATCAACATTTGAGTCCCATGTTTAAAAACACTATTTTTTTTATCCGTTTAAAAAGAAGTTCACAATGTTTGAAACTTCCAATTCTGTTTGCATACATTGAGTCCCACATTTTTTGGGATGTTTTCTTTACATTGGTTAAACCTGAAAATTTAATAAATAAATGTTTAGAAAAACTACTTTTTTCTGTTTAAAAAGAAGTTCACAACGTTTGAAACTTCCATTCAGTTTACATACATTGAGTCCCACATTTTTTGGGATGTTTTTTCTTTTAATTCGTTAATGAAAATTCAATAAATAAAATTTCTTTTATCCACGTCTGGAATTGACTCCCACTTTGGAATTCGCTAATTCAGTTTACATTAATATTTGAGTCCCACGTTTGTTGGGCTTTTTTCTTTTGTTCAAAGAAGTTCACAAAGTTTAAAACTTCCAATTCAGTTTATATCTACATAGAGTCCCATGTTTGTTGGTATTTTTTTTAATTGTTAAACCTGAAAATTCAATAAATTAAATTACTTGATCCACGCTGGAATTGACTCCCATGTTTGAAATTAGTCGATTTTAAACAATATACATAGATTTCACAAAGAAACATGAAGAAAGATTTTAAAAAAATCACGATCATCTTCCCAGACATGTGCATCCTAACCTAACTCCATAACTTATCCACTTTCTCCATAACTATAAATAATGTTTATGCGGCTCCTCTTTTAATTTCTTTTTCATTCCTTTTTTCTTAGCTCACAATATTGAACTTTGCAAATATGGCTACAAAACTTCATGATATCAGATAAATTTCAAGCAATTCGATGCAATAGAATTTGAAAGTTGTAGTTCGAATGTGGAAAATCCCGGATTGCTTCAAGCCAGAAATACTATAGTCTATGGAGTTGATTTTACAAGATGCAAAGGTAACATATTTATAATTGCTTTTATTTTTTATATACTTCCTCTTTTCTGCTGCTATAGTTCATAAATTTTTCAAACTTTTCAAGTACATGAGATTTTACAAGATACTTAAAATTGCTTTTATTTTTATATACTTCCTCTTTTCCGTTGCTATGGTTCATAAATTTTCAAAACTTTTCAAGTACATGAAAACGCAAGCGTAAAAGTATTTGCTTCGTACTCTTAATTCTCTTTCTATTTGTAACGTTACTTTCGCAATTCTTTATAATCTATGGCAATCCTCAAATAGGTGGAACTATCTAATTGAAGTGATTATCTATTGTAATCTTATTTCTATTTCTGTTTCTGAACGTCTGATTGATAATTGTTTACTAATTTCCAGCATTAACAAATTATTACCAATATAATACATCCTAATAATTAATCTAAGAAAAAAATATTATGTTCCTCCTATATGTCTGTGAAATTCTAAAAATATGCATATTCTGCCAAAAAAATTTACAATATTTGCTGACAATTGTTTAGTCTCTGAAATTACTGCAAATTCTGAAAATATGCATATTTATCCTAAAAAATTTACACTTTTTGTTGACAATTTTTTACTAATTTCCAGCACTAACAACTTATTATCAATATAATACATCCTATTAATTAATTGAGTCTGTTTCTTTTGCAAATAGAAGCAACAAACAGTCCACCAATATGTGGTAGTACTAACTGTTGCACCTTCTTAATGATATAGGTTGATGTGAATGGTGGTAGTGTTGCTCCACTCTATAAATTTATGAAATAAAGCAAAGGTAGCAGCCATTCCCTTTGCTATGGTTGCTTTCCTTGCTCTAGAATTGCTAATGCAGAATATAGCTGACAAATCTTTCTCTCCATGTATCCCTGTAGAAGGACATCTAGAAATTGTTCTGGATTGCTTAAGCTCTAGATTGGCCTGGCTCTGCATTTTATGCTGGAAACAATGAGTAAAATCCATACCAGTTATACTTGACACTACATCTTTATATATTATGACTAGCTTGGGTCAGTTTTAATACTTGAAGCATTTATCTGTGATTCCTCTGCATGGTTATAAAGCCCACATGTAGTATTCCTTTTAAATAAATAATAAAAACAATAACACAAACAATGCTAAAGTGTATCTTTAAATGACAAAACATGTGGCCAAGTTGATTCTTTGTTGCCTCACATGAAAATTCCAAAGAATCTGTCAAATCCCTGTTCATCCTCTGAAGCACATCTTAGTTTTGTTTAGTCCACATTACATATCATAGGTTTTGTGTTGTAATTCATGCAGTATTTATATGATTTCAGTTATATTATGCAGTTCTCATTGGATGTAAAGCGGCTTATTGGCAGGAGGTTTACTGATACATCTGTACAGGGTGACATGAAATTAAGGCCTACCTTGGCTCAACTGTCAAGAATGCCTTGGTGAATATGACTGCATTCTTCACATATCTATACATTATGATATGGAGATATTTACATCTAATTATTTAATAGGAGTTTAAGTATTTGCCCAGGTACGAGTTAGCCTTTGGAGCTGTTGATGAATCTATACTACTATTTATAATTACGGCATCTGCTACTACTGTTGATGCCAAGAATTCAAATTATAATTTGAAAGCTCTACCTTTGTTTTTGCTGATCTTATAGTCCCTTCCAATTGTCAATGTATAGGCTCAATACTAAAAAATTACAAATAATATTTTCTTTTCAAATATTATATTATATATTTTTCGCGCATCGCGCGGGTACGGATACTAGTTATGAAGAATGAAAAAGGCAAAATAATAGATGAAGACTCTAATCTGTGGAAATTAAGTCTTAACAAGGGATTTGATTGGTAAACCACTCCATAACGTGGATAGGGGCCTTTATCAACTCCAGCGCTAATTCAACCAACAAAGTTACACATATGCAACACGGACATATTATACTCAACGTCAACCTGTACATAACACATACAAAAAATCAACTATTCACCAATCAAGTAAAAAGTTTATTCGATTGCCAATTTAAGAAACACAAAATGAAATTAATGTATAAACATGAAGAGGCACATAGGCGGATTAATTCACAATTTAAATAAGATGTATTCAACCTTCAAGATTTAATGAATTTTTTTACAAATATACTTAAAACTCTATATTAAGAATACTAGGTTCAGTTGAACCTGACATTCACCCGGAGGCACATTTAATAAATTCCCTTCTAAATAAGAGAGCGAAAAAGAGGGTCAGCCCAGTGCATGTTCATGTAGGGTCCAAGGAAGGGCTGCACCCTAAGGGGCGCGATATAGGCAGCCTACCCTGATGCAAGTATCAGTGGCTGAATTTACGGGTCGAACTCTTGACCTATAGATCACACTACAACTTTATCGTTGCTCCAAGACTCCCTTTAAATAAAAGAGCGATAAGAGAGAAGAAATAGAACGAACCCGACGATCCAAACGATGACGCCGACGACAGAGACGATAAGAGAGAGGAGAGCAAAAGGGAGCCCTAGAAGAAAGGCCAACGGCCTGCAACCTTCTCCACAGCACATGATTTCTGCTGTAAGTTTAAGCAGAGATTACTGTTTGTATTTTGAAGAAGAGTTTCTCTCCAATTCTCTGCTTAACTATAATGTTCTCTACAAAAACCGTAAATTGCACGTAATAGATTCGGATTTTATTATTATTTTTTTAAGCAAAAAGACAGTTATATACGATGTTGATATGGACACGTTATTTTGGTTTATCCTTTACGTGAAACCGATGGTTATGATTTGTCTAAATTTAATAAGATTAGATTCAGTGCAAGGCAAAAAGTGAGAAATGTGTACCCCACGTTTCATCCAAAAGAACAACCAGCTTTAACGTAGTGGTCTTACACTTTTTTCTATTTTTTGGTTGAATAATGTGAAAAGTGGTTATTCGGTTAGGATAACATTTGTTAAAACTTTAATTTATATGTATTGAAAGTGCAAGTAATTTTTATATTATTAGTATATTTTGACCAATTAGCGCAACTTATTAATTTTTTAGCTATATTTGATTTACTATAGATAGTAACTTGAATATATAATCTGATAGTGTAAAAAGAAAATTATATAATGTTTGTGAGCAAGGTTTAAACTTAAAATACTTATGAAGACTGAAAACTAACCCTATTTTGAAGAGGGGTTGGAAACAAGGGTGTGTTTGGTATAACGGAAAATATTTTCCGTGAAAAATATTTTTCAACTTGGAAAACAAGTAGTAATCTTATTTATTTTCCGGTATTTGATACGCAAATTAAGGAAAATGACTTCTCAAGAGCATTCATAAATAATTTAGATATAATAAATATGAAACCATAAACTTTCAAACCAACAACCTTCCGTACCCACATTTTTCATAAACTTTCGAACCGCTAAACTTTCGAAACCGCGGAATTTCTAACCAGTAAACTTTATAATTTCTAAACCCGTATATAAACCTCCGAACTCATAACTTTGGAACTTGTAAAATTTTGAACCTTTAAACCGGTAAACAAAAAAAACTAAAACTGAAAAATAAATTTAAAACAATTTTTTTTGGGGGGGGGGGGGGGGGGGGGGACGCAGTTGGGGGGTGGGTGGTGCAGAAAAACAAAAAAACAGAAATTTAAAATTGCAATAATTAAAAATTTATTTTTTTTGTGGAGGGGGGTGGAAGTGGGGGTGGGGTGGAGGGGTAGTAGGGTGGGTTGGAGCGGAAAAACTGAATTTTAAAAAAAAAAAAAGAATCTTTTTTGGAGAGAGGGGGTGTGGTGTGTTGGTGAGGGTAGGGAAGGTTGAGAAGGAGTTTTGGAAAATGTTTTCCCTTCTCTTGATAAGGAAAACATTTTCCTCCAATTGGAGAAAAATGAGTTCATAAGGAAAATGTTTTTCAAAACATTTAAGCCAACCAAACATGGGAAAATTGAAAAACTTTTTCCGGAAAATATTTTCCTTCATAACAAACACACCCCAAGTTTCTTACCCCATGAACTATTTTCTGTCTTATTAAGCAGGTATTCCCTGTTAATGATATGAAAAATAATTCCACTTCATGTTTTGCTGTTTTCTCAAAGAAGTAACTAATTGTCCAAAAATTCATTTACATGTCAAGTGAATATAAGATAAATCCCCCTGAGAACATTTAGGAGAAAAGGATGATAATGCTGGTAAAAAAATACATGTCAGTGAATATATAGATTGCAACTTATAATGATCAGTATCAAAGATGTTCTTGATACTTAATAGTAACATTAATATGAAACAGGTAAAAAAAATTACTTTTCAGAGACAAAAGGGACCTTCATTCAACACTTTAAATCCCAAATTTTTGGTCATTTTAGCAACTTACAAACTTGCAACCTCCCAAAAAGATTGAAAAAAGGAAAAGAAACTGCAATAGCTATACTCGAATATCAACATTTTGGCCTGCCAAAGAAATTCTTGCCACCGACCGTAGCATGAGTAGAAGCTGGAAGGGAGAGAAATCTTCAAAATTTGAAGAGCTTCAATACTATGTCAGTGTTCTGATCATGAGAAAAAGTCGTCCTCAATCCAATAAGATGCAGGAATCTGGTGCCTAAGACTTGCTGATACCTGCTGGTGGGAGGCAGCAGGAACCCCGTAGAATAGTCGAAGTGTGTGCAAGGTAGCACGGATACCACCATTATCTGAGAAAAAGAATGATGCCAGGAACCGGAATCCAGCCATGAAGGACGAATACATTTTTCCAAACCATCAGAGTTGAGCTCGAAATCCACGCTTCTTAGGTCAATAGTCTAGGCTTTTCTGTTTAAATGACCGACGTGATTACTTAAAACTTATTCAGGAAGTACTAGAGCCGAGGCAACTAGGTTATAGTGGTAGCAGTAAATCATGCTCAAAGTGTCGGATCAAAGATGTACTCAGTTTGCTTACAATTGACAGACCAGCTCCCTGAAATTTTAGCTGATCTGTTTACGAAGTCAGTCTAGAGCCGAAGCTACTTCTGCAGCAAAACTAAACATTGCACCAACTGAACATTCACATGAAACAGAATAATCATCAGAACCAACTGCAGCTTCATTGATCAAATGAACTTCAGGTAATCCGTTCCTCCATATAGGAATCATCGGGATGGACTGTTCAGGCTCGAGTTCTCCTTTTCCATAGAAATTATGCATTCCAATCTATCATAAACCTGCATTGTTTTCCATATCCTCAAATTTCTCAGCTGATAAAATTCGTCAAGGAAACTATAGCTTTTTCTAAATAAAGTTTTTTTATGAAATACCTCAGATAGCTTCTTTTTCTTATCTTCTACACTTGCTGAAGGATCATACCTAGGTACCAAAAATACAGAGTATTGTCAGTTTTATCATACAAGAAGCCTGATCTATCAAACTGTCAACTTACCATTCCCGCGGAAGACCAGCTTCATCTCTAGCCAAATGGTTGAATGGTCCTTTTAACTCCACATTATATTCCTCTAATAAGTCTGTCAAAAGACGAAATTGGTGAATTCACTGAAGAGGCAAGACAGTGCCTGCACCTTTAAAAAAAACACACACACAAATAAGTGGACCTCTGAAAGTTGAGCAAGGGGTGCGTCCCATTTGCTGACAAACCAAAATAAACCAGAAGACACCCACAGCCACATGTGCAACTTCTTCATCAGCAATTCTAGCCACAATGTTGGAAGTCCTATGGTCTCCAAAGCCAATTAGCTTTTGCACCAGCCGAGGCCCAGCATCAAGACCTCTTGCTTCCTATAGCAATAAGAAATTTCACAAAATCATATAACATAATCAAAATGCAGAACTCCTAATATGACAGCAAGAAACAAGCATCCCTGGAAGGTACAATTCCCATCCCAAACAGCAAAATTAAAGGTCATATCAATTAAAACCTAATAGCCCAAAAGGCTAGGGCACATGCACCTATTTATAGTACGCGTCAGCACATCTATTAATACACAGGCCAAAAAGAATTCCCGACTATATCAAAACTAAAACCCCAACAGGACAAGTTAATCCAGCTGTTTTCTCCAAAAGTAGAGCCCAATCTGAGAAGTGAGTTCATTTATTAAATTGATAACACCATGGAGGAGATTTGATCACAACACCTCTTGATGTCAAATTTTAGCTTCACTTAAGTGGTAGTCATTTCTGAAGTAAATTTTACAACTCAAGTGGCCACACAAGCGCCTTTGCAAGACTTTCGTCTAGTTTCTAACAGCTCTGCCACATATCCTTCTTTAAACAGCAGCAGAAAACTGCTAGAGATAAAGCAGGTGATACCAAAAGAGATAAAGCAGATATGTAGAACTATCCCATTGTGCATCTTATGGACAATATGGCTGGAAAGGAACAAGGGTTGCTTTGAAGGACAGAGAACTCACATTGCTAGAATTAAGAGTATGTGTTTACAAAACTTGTATTTCTGGTGTAAAAGTGGCTCACTACTTAGTTTAGATCAGTATATAGATTTCTTTAGCTGTTAGGAAAAAGACTGCAGTAGGCTGATTTCTGTTTCCTTGTTGTTCTGTTCCTGTTATGTACCATCTTGGTACCATTCAATAAAATCTTTACCTTATAAAAAAAATAAAAAATAAAACTGCTGGAGGGAAGTAGTTATTGAAGCTCTTGAGAAGTAATTCAAACTGAATATTTCTAAATCCCAACTCAGGAAAACATACTTAGAACTCAGGGTACCTCATAGACACCACTAAGCGGGTCAAGGTCCGAAACTGTCACGCCTGTCTTTTCAAGTAAAGATATCCAAAGACTACTGAAATAAATCTTCTGAGATTTCTAACCATGTTAACTGCTGAATTTCCAACAGGATATGGTTATATTTGGTCTATAGAAAATATAATAAAACTTCATCCACTCGTCCATATTTCTTAGTATCTTTCCTCCACAAGTTACATGGCTAAGTAACTACACCTAGAAGCTTTAAAATATTAGAAACCCACCCTGTCTAACTACTAGTATTACTTAATTGTTAATAGACGATGCTTACCCATTTCGAAAGTCGATTCTTATTTTTCCATTTATCAATTTCTTCCCAATTTTAAACACACTTAGTGGACTTCCCGGAGATAGCATAATCACACAGCTCCCCAAGCAATCAAAGACAAATAAGTGGAAAGAATGAGTTGAGCAATCGTCACTGCATTCCAACAGTTCAAGCAATTGATTTATCGTTCATATCTTTTTCAAAAATAGTGGAGGACCTGAACAAGTGGGATTGCAGCGAGCCGTGCAGCAACATTATTTGAGGATTTCTCACACTCCCTCCAGAGCAAATTATGAGCAGGCATGTCACCATAGCTGTTCAAGGAAGCAAAGAGATATAAACATCCATCTTATAAAATACAACACATTTCATAGCCAAATTGAAGACACATTCACCTAAATCCAAGCTCAGATAATCTCTGTGAACACCAAGCAAAATGGCGACTCTCATCATCAGCCACATGTGCAAAATCAGCAAAGAACCCCTCACCTAAAATCTCACTGTATGGTGAGAAACGGACTACAGTATCCCATGCAAGGTCAACTGCATTTAACTCCACATGAGCAAGATTGTGAAGCATATATGCATTGAGAGGTAAACCCGAGTGTTTAGGAGGTGGAATTTCTTTAGATGGAACCTGTATTCAAGACTTAGAACACATAAGCTAAAGCTACAAAATCATTGGCAAGAGAATCAAAAGAAAGTAAAAACACCAGCATCTTAAGTTTTGACTGAACTACTTCAAATTGAGGTTTGTAGGGCGACGTATCACACACAGTTCTAGCACGAAGTAGCACTGAAATCCCTAGTCGTTTGTTGACAATATGTATGAACTTGGTAAGACTATACACTTCCAAATTTCGAAAGCATAGATACATTCCAAATGGAAGACTGTAGGTACACGCACCCACTGCTAAGAAACTACATCCACCTATGTCTTTAGTCTTTACAATAAAGTGAAGACTGAAATTAAAATAATCAAATAATTCAACGTTAAACATCTGATAAAAACTATCAATTAAAGTAAAGTTCACCCCTTTGCCTTTACATCTCTTAAGAAAACAAATAGAACGACCAAAGTTGGTACTCCCTCCATCTCAATTTATGCGATCCTCTTTCCTTTTAGTCTGTTTGAAAAATAACAACCTCTTTCTAAATTTGGAAACAAATTAACTTAAACTTCTCATTCAGCATTCTGACCAGCTTTTATAGATACATAAATGTTACGACACCATTAATTTCAAAAGCTTTTCTTTCTTTCTTGAACCACCACGTGTCCAATCAAATAAATTCACATAAACTAAAACGGAGGTCGTAATTGAATTCCATTAACTAAAGAACTTCAAATAATGGAAAATAAAATACCAATTCAGGTTTGGAAGGTCGAGCAGGCCGAGCCGGGGGATGAAAAGTACCAACAGGAAGACCCTCTTGACGCCACCTACAATAAGCCAAATGGGAAAGCTTCGATTTCATTAAAGGATCACTGGTACAAAGAACAGCAGCACCCATTTCAGCAAGAGACGACGCCAAGTTAATTGATTCCCACAAAGTGGATTCTTTAGTTGAATTTGAGGGTACAATTATTTCATCAGGGCCATTGGGTCCCCAGAAACGCTGGTGGTTTAAAGGGCTGTGTCTCCAATTTTGTAAACCTGACCACTGATTTGGTAATTCTGGGTAATGAATAGTTAAAGGAGAGGTAGAAATTGAGTTTTTCTGTGAGGAGCAAAGAGTGAATCTTAGTGGGGTGGAAAATATTGGTCTGAATTTGAAAGTATTTGCTGCCATTTTGGGATGAAATTTGCGGTTTATGTGAAGTCTGAAAGTGGAGTGAAGAGGATGATAACTAGATAGTCTAGGACTTGAAATTGAACTATGGCTATGTTTTGGATGGTTGTTACCATTGTATTGAATCGTATCGTGTATTATCGTATTGTTACTTTAAATATAATGTTTGTTTTGATTGTTATTTTAATTTTATTATATTGTATCGTTAAATCTGTTGATGTGCCACTTTATGTAACGACGGATTTGGTGTGGTCGCGTCGTTACCTTGTCTTTTTCTCTCAATCTCGCTCTTTATTATTATTAAATTATATTATTTTATTATTTACCCTGCCTTTTTATATAGTAATTTTATCTTGTATCATAATTTTTCTTTATAATATTGCAAGTTTATTCTTCATATTGCTGCTGTGTGATATCATGAAACGATGGCAAACGACACAATCTATCCAAACATTGTATTTATCAAACGATACAGTACAATACAATACAGTACGATACGATACGATACATTATGAAACGATGCGTAACAACCATCCAAACAAGCTGAGGCAAACATCTAACGGCTTGTTTGGATGACTATATATTGCATGGTATTGTTACTTTAATTTAAATATAATGCTTGTTTTGATTGTTTTGGATGGTTGTTACTCATTGTATCATATTGTATTGTTATCTCAAAATAATATTTGTTTCGATTGTTTATTAAAAATGGATTGTACTGTATTGTTAAATCTATTATTCCGGAATAATGAAATGTTCCATTTTTTCGAAACAATGAATCCATATGGTGGGATTATTTCATATCTTTCTTTTCAATTATGCCTTTACTTATTACTTCCTAATCTTATTTTCTTTTATCATATTTTATACTTAGCCCAAATACGTATTATGTATTATTTCTACAGCCGTTCGCACTCCGAGTTGTGATTCGTTCTAAAGCTTTAAAAACCATTACAACAACGTCAGTAATTTGTAAATATCTGTCATAGGTTAGTTTTCAATCTATTTTTTTCTCTATTTAAGGCTCAAATTATATATATATATATATATATATATATATATATATATATATATATATATATATATATATATAATTCTTAATTAATTTCTTATTTAAAACAATTGAGGGTATTTTAGTAAACTTATCAGTTATAGTACAATACGATACAGTCAAACCAAACAGCACAAATTTTATTTAACAACATCGTACGATACAATCTACCCAAATATTGTATTTATAAAACGATACAATACAGTACAATACAATACACTATAAAACAATGGGTAACAATAATCCAAACAGAGTGTTATTGTATCGTATTGTATAAATGTCACTTTATAAAACGTCGGATTTGGTGTGGTAGTGTCGTTTACTTACTTTTTTTCTTTCATTTTGACCTTTCTAAATATTAAATAATTATATTTTATTATTTATCCTACTCTTTTATATGATAATTTTACTATGTATTCTATTTTTTCTTTATAATGTTGCAGGTTTATTCTTCATATTATTGGTACATGATCATGAAACGACGGCAAACTTTATATTCATCAAACAATACAACACAGTATGAAACGACATGTAACAACAATATAAACAAGCTGTTAGAGTCGACTGTATAAGAACAAGGAAGAAGTTGAAACAAACATATAAGTGCAGGAGTTCTGTTACCTTTTTGTTAAGAATTGAAGTTATACGTCACCGTAAATTTTATCCTATTGTTATGATTTAACATGTTATAACTAAGTTAGTTGCTATTATTAAGTAAGTTGGTTATTATTCCCTCCTTTCATTTTTACTTGTCCGTTATTTTAAAAATAGATTTTTACTTTTACTTGCCACTTTCGCATATCAAAAGAAAAATAATTTATTTTTCATGTTTTGCTCTTAGCACTAATTACTCATTCCAAACCATTTTTCAAATCCATTAAGATTATACACCAATTCCCGATAGACAATAAGTCCTCAATAAATAAATAAATAAAATCAACAAAAAGAGGATTGTTCATTCAAAAATATAAAATTGGAAAGGACATTAGCTAATTGTCCTGATTGACTTATTACTATTTTATTAACACTTAGGATATGTACAGAGCATCTTATTAATGCTACAAGTAGGACAGATAAAGTTCTATCAGATTCAAGTGATCCAATCACTTGAAAAATTTGACTTCAAACTGCACAAATTAGAAATCCACAAGCGAATGTACATAAGCTACAAACTAGATGCTATTATTATACAAATTGGGACCAGCCAGCACATGCTATTACCACCAACAGCACCCTCTTGATTGAAGGACGACATCAGTATGCTCGTAGACCTTGAAATCTGGCACACATTAGAGAGAAATATTAACAAACTCGAGTTCATCAAATCTGCACACAACTTATAGAAAAATATTGACAACTCGAGTTCATCAAATCTGCACACAACTTAGAAATATTAACAATTAGTGTTTAAATTGGATGGGAAAGCAAAAATAAGAATAACTCAGCAGAAAAGAAAGCCAGCCACTCTAGTTGTGGCAAACTTGGTATCAATCAACATGGAGCCAAATATGTCTAATTTGTATCCTGCATCACTCGATCAGAATTGTAGGGGAGCCTTGGCGTAACTGGTAAAGTTGTTGTCATGTGACCATGAGGTCACGCGTTCGAGCCGTGGAAACAGCCTCTTGCAGAAATGCAGGGTAAGATTGCGTACAATAGACCCTTGTGGTCCGGCTCTTCCCTGGACCCCACACATAGCGGGAGCTTAGTGCACCCGGCTGCCCATCACTCGATCAGAAAATGTCATCTTTAACATTTTCAAAAGTTGATTCATCCAAAGAGTAGATATTTCCGAATTTAATGTTTGATCTTCACCTACAACCCTGACAGAGCAACAAGACTATGGGGCGCTCAAAATATTCTCCCTCCAGGATATTGGGAGCTCAAAATCTTCTCCCGAAAGGATATCATAGCAGTTCATCTGAACACCAACCATTTAATGTAACATAACTATGATGTTCAGACCTCTAGCATTTCACATAGGTGATACTTTGTCATTTTACCTACACTATGTCATAATTGCATTGCCTTCATGATGCATGTGAATTCGTAGTAAGGGCCCTCTCTAGATAGGGATTATTTTGTTTTCAACTCTAAGCAACTAGATCTGACACGGTAAAAGAGGACTATATTACCCCTACATAAAAGGCATAAAATCATGCCAGCAAGACTCAAATTACATTCATCAAACATATAATGCACCTTCTATATCATTTGCTGACTCAATGCCATCAATGTTACCTCCTCCAGTAAATCATCCAGTCCCAGTAATTCGAAGAAGACACCACTACAAGACCATAATGTTAAGCTTTACCTTTCTATGTTCAGCATTCTTTATTTTGCTGATAGATTGCTAACCTTTATAAATTTAGAGGTCGAAAACACTGCCTTAACCTCCGGGTATATAATTCCTTCTGTGTAACTTGCAAGGTCAATCAGTAAAGTATACCTCGATCTCAGATTAATAAGAATCGACTATATGAATCCTCTATATCATTCCACTCTTTTGAATTATATCCTCTGTATCATTCTTCTACTTTTAAGCTCATTCTATTCCAATGTCCTTTAAAACAAATTAGGTGGTCTCTACAACTAGAAATGCTCCAAAGCTCATACCTATCCATACAGTGTGCATACAAATCTCTACAACTAAATCTCAGTCCAAACAAGTTGGGGCATACAGATCTCTAACCAAACCAAAAACTAAAAAGAGTCCAAACAAACACTGGACCTAATGTAAGTGAAACAACATGTAATTCTTATCCAACAAGCTGGTATCGCTTATATGGTACATTCGCATTGTTTTAATTAGGTAAGCATAGATTTCGAGAACATACATATATTGAAACAACTTCTCTTAATGCGATCTTAGATCAAACTTATCACCTTTTAGAACCTCCAATTATCATAGCACCACACGACATCATACAGCCAAACCATCTCATCTCAGGTGTGTTATTAGCACCATCTATCAGAGTGTGATTATTTCTAATATTTTTCAATTTTATATGATTGCGCATCCACATTTTGTTCCCTCTTCAGTTCTTCTTCTTTTTCTCATTCTCTTCTTCTTCTTCTTCTTCTTATTTTCATTTCAGTCCTTAAAATTGTAGCGAAATGCTGCCAATTTTTTTTTTCTTCAGTTCTTCATCTTTTGTTCTTAGTCTCACTGCCAATTAGTATTGGCAGTTACATGTTTTGTATGCCGTTACATGTGTAACATGTGTTGTCTATGCAGTATTTATTTTAATATTTTTTTTTAAAATTCCGCTTCATTTCAAAAAAGCGAACGCTTCGCTTCACGCTTTAAGCGAAAAGGGGCTTGTCGCTTTTCCTCGCTTCACGCTCTTCACAACACTGATCAGGGCTTTTCTTGACACTTTATTATGTACTTTTTCAATGTTCACGAATAACCCTTTGGAGATACTTTTTCGTCCCCTTTTAAATTCCCATCAATCGTTTTAGCAAAAAATATAGCTTTTGTTATAAACTTACTAGGTATAAAACCAAACTATGCCTTTTTCACCCTTGTAATCTCCTAAAAGACGCTGTATCACTCTTCTAAAAAGTTTCATAGTATGACCTGTTCAGAAAAAAAGGTTTCTTAGTATGATTATAAGTTTTACACCACAATTGTTTGCACAACTTTGATGTTCAGAAAAATACAAGACTATAGAGTTAAGCAGCAGTATTCTATGTTCGGCATTTTTTATGATAAGTGACTGGAAACCTAAAGGAACTTAAAAGTCCAAAGCATCATCTTTACATATGTTATTGTTTAAGAACACCAGAGCCCAACCAATCACCACATTTTGAGTCATATTTGATACCTTGTGACCAAGTGACTGATACTTAACATTTTCTCGTCATATTACATTGCAATATTAGGCTGATCCACCATCAAAATGGTGGCACCTCATCTCTGGAGCTGAATGTAATGAGAATACCAGGATGCTTCCAGAGCAAGACATCTATAAGAAGGCTTTTGGGATTACATTTGTTCTGGTTTACTATTAAGAGTTGGTTCTCAATGTTCTATTCCTAGAAGGAGAAAGCACAACAATTGAAAGGGTGCAATCTCAGACCATCCTCTGATGGTCTTGATCACCAATCCACTATTCACTTCAAAGAGACGCCCTTCAAAATTGTCAAAGATATATAGAAGCCACATCAGCTATCTAAAAGAAATTAATTTATGCAAAAAGGACAGGTGCATTGGTTAAAGGCAAAACTATCATCTGGATTATTCAAATTACTGATCAGTCAATAGAATCTTAAGAGTAAATATAAAAATAGATCCAAGGAAAGTTGGATTGCTGTTGTACTTAAGGGAGCAAGTCAAAAGATTTCAGATAGCATCGACGGAGGAAACAGAGTCCAGCATTTACCACAAGACTTTGAAAGAGAGAACATTATATCTGGACAACAGAATCAACTCTTTGGTGAATTCTCTGCATCAGATCCACCTCCTGAAGAGTTTTCGCTATCAGAATCTGCAATTAATGTGAACAATAAGGGAAAATGAAGATTTAGACTAGACAAAGGTCCAATCATGACACCCCAAAAAAAGGCAAATGAGAACAATATATATATATATATATATATATATATATATATAGAGAGAGAGAGAGAGAGAGAGGCAAAAGAGAAAAATAATCACTACCACTTGATGATGATACTGAGTCAGTGCTAGAGCTGCTTGCTTGACTAACATCTTTGCCCTGATTTTCCATTTGAGCAGGATTGGAGGAAGTGCCTTTCTCTTCTACTAGCATATACAACAGAGTTAATAACTATTTCCAACGAGATCACTGGGTTTGGAAATTCTCACATTTTAAGAACTTACCTGCTTTGCTTTCTTTTGGAATTTCTACCACAACTGGGTTAGCATTCTGCAAAATAGTAAGAAAGCGAGCTAAAAATATGAAACAAAAGAAAATTACCCAAACAGACAAAAAAAGAGAGAATCAAATTGGAAAAAATTAATGCTCAATATTTTACCTTCTCCTGGACATTCTTCTCAGCTTCACTTTCTCCTTGATCTGCAAGTCCAGCTTTTCTTTTGTTCTTGCTCAAGCTCTTCTTGTAATTAGTAACAAACCTGTCGAGCTCCCATAGGGTCTCAGTATCAACACTATCAATATCCACTTCAATCTCATCATCCTGTTGGCAAAGAGATGAATTCCTCTTTTTGATGATCTGTACTACCTGTTCAAGTTTTCCAGAAGGTAAATTCTGTAGGCTTGTGCTAAGCTTTTGCTTTTCATCATATGTCATCTCTCTTTTATTGGGATCCTTTGCTTTCGGCTTCTTTGGTACAGGGGTCCTTCCTGATTGGGGGAGAGCGACAGATTTAGTCTTCAAATCAAAGGGATTGGATGTTGATTCTGACCTGTCTAAAGTCCTCCTCACTCCAGGGGGTGGCAATGGTTGGGAAGGAGGCTTCTTAGATTTAGGAGTCTTCAAACTCACCTGAGAGTCCATTGTCAATCTCAACTCGCGCATATAATCAGCCTCTATAGTGGCCCACTTTTCCTCAAATATCTTGGAAAGTTGCTCGGCCATCATATGAACATCTTGGCCCTTTGGATTATACGTCATAGCATTTTGAAATGTAAGTCTCACATCCTCGGCAAAGTCTTTAGGAGACTTGTAGCAATTTGTATCCAGCCTGGACTTCACGGTTCCCAAATCCATTGGATTCTTAATAATGTCAAAATAGTCATGTAAACCAAGACCCTTTGTATCAACAGGCTGGTTAAACACCCAACCATGCTTGTGCTTCATCAATCTTTCAAGCAAAGCACGACAATTCTTGAGTATTTGATTTGAGAACTTCCCCTGGCCCATACCATGTACCGATTCTGGTCCACTCACTTTCTTTGCATTTGATTTCGACTTCTTGTTGCTTTCAGCTGGGGAAAACTTATCCTTAGCTAATAAGAAATCTGAGTTCCTATAAAATTTGTTTGCCTTTGGTGTCCTCTTCTCTTTCTCCGCATTATCAACCACACCATGGCTGTTCTCCATGACGGATACACTTAACTGATTCAAAGGCCTGGACTCAAGCTGTTGCCCCATTTGTGAGACATCTGAATGTACCCGTCGTACCCCACTATCCTTATCAATTCCAGTGCCGATCTTCTGTGCATCTTTTCTCTCGATCTTCTTCACCAAACTCTGAACCAAATCCAACTCACTCTGCAACTTCCTTCTTAGCTCTCTCATCTCACGCTTGGACTTAAACGCTAAATTGATTCTAGCACTATTCTCTTGGCCATTACCTGCCAATATTCCAGTATTCTCTAATGTTAAAAAACGGTTCAGACTCGAAGAACCTTCTGAGGCCGCATCTAAGCAAAAACCAACTATTTTTTGAGACGAATTGACATCTTCCAGAGCTGTTTTCCCTATATTATTTAACCCTTTAAATGACTTCCGTCTGTAGACTTTGCTTTCAGTCAACCTCTGCTGCTCTTTCGATCCTCCATTTTCACCATTCGCCATTGTTCCCGAAGTCATACATTCAACAACAAAAACCTAATTGAATAGGTTTGAAAAAAGCAGTTGCATAAATATTTGTCAATTAACTTGCTCTTTAACAAAATTGAGTAATTTGTCATCACCAAACTCCTACTGCTTAAGAAAAAACTAAATTCTAACTGATAAAAAATAGCACTGAATTTCCTCACAAGCAAGCTTATTTTACACAACGAAGTAGAAGCGCGCAGCAAACACACACACTTTTGTATATGTACTGATAAGAAAAACACTGCATTTCTTCTCAATCAAGCTAATTTTACACAAAGAACACGTAGATAAAAACACTGAATTTCCTCTCAAGCAAGCTTATTTTACACAAACAACACGTAGAAGCACACACACTAGTATATGAAAAGAGATAGAAACCCTAAGCAAACAGAGTTAGAGACCATATGATTTCGTAGCACAAACATATAGCTCAAAACAACGAGAAACAAATCTTTACACACTCGCAAGTTGAGAACTTCATAAGCCGTAAATACTCAGATGCAAATAAAAAAAACTCGGATTTATGTAAATTACATCAATTTTATCCGAGATTTAGGGTTTAAACTAAATCACAATAATTAACACATACTTTTTGTAAATCTTCACCCACGCACTTTCTCACTCTATCAATCAGCTGCTCTCTCTCACTAAGATTTTGTGTTTACTGCAAATCGCTCATTGTTTTTTTTTCCTAATATCGGAGAAGAATAGTTGTCGGTAAGAGGAGGGGAGGAGGAGAGGCGAAAATGCGAGTCGCGTGCTGGCCACGGCGGAATGGAGGGCTAGGATTTTGTCATTGAAAAGAAGGGGAGAGAACGACGGCCGTGATTTCGATTTGGTCGGAACGTTGACATTTGCTTGGTCTTTGCAGATGTGACCCACGCGTTGAGGGTGGCGCGTGGGAGTAGACGTGGATCGTAGAATATTTGGCCCTCTTTGACTCGGAAAGGTCATTGGGCCAATGCCCGAAGCCCATTTTCGATGCCAAAATTTTACGGTATAGTCAGTTTTCGGACTGGTCAATCAAAAATAGCCAGCGTTCACCAAGTCTATGAAAAATAGCCACTGTTTTGCTGCAATAGAGACCGGTCCAGCATAATATACTGGAGTTTCGGTGCACTTGTGTATGAACTCCAGCATATTATGCTGGACCAGTATACTTTGCTGGCTCCAGTATAATATACTGGAGACTGGAACACTGGTGCTCCAAACTCCAGTATATTATACTGGACCATTATACTTGTTGGAACTCCAGTATATTATGCTGGAGTTCTAGTATATTTATGCTGGAACTCCATCATATTATGCTGGAGTTCCAGCATATACTATCCTGGAACTCCAGTATAATATGTTGGAGTTCAAGTATACTTATGCTGGAACTCCAGCATAATATACTGGAGTATTTTCCGGGTTTTGAACAGTGTTTTCGCTCAGATTTATCTTTACATAAAAAGTGGCTATATTTCGATTACTTTTGAAATTGGGCTATTTTTGAACGACCAGTTGTAAATCTGGCTATTTTTAAAAATCACCCATATTCGATTGGACATGATAGTGACCCTCCCAATGAAAATGAGAAATATAACACGAGTACATGTTGACGAGGAGGTAAAAATTGCATGGGCGCCCTATCTGGTCCCCCCTTTTTAACTTATACCCATTTTATTTTTTTTGTCTATATTCGTTCCCTTATTTTTTTAAATATTTTAAAAAGATAATTTTGCCCTTTTTTAATAAAAGACTATTGACAAACTGCAGGACAAAACGTAAGCATGTTTAGGCTGAAGTTTTAGCAAATGAACTAAATAACTTTAGCATGTTTAAACTGAAGTTTCGGATAAACTCATGACAAAACTGTAGAATGCAGGATAAATAACTGCAGCATGCATTAGCATGAAGTTTGAGCTTCAATGTGAAAAAACTTCAAGCTATATTAGCATGAAGTTTTAGCTTCAACATGAAACAACTTCATGCTACATTAGCATGAAGTTTTAGCTTCAACGTGAAACAACTTCATGCAAGCGTGATTATGAAGATGAATCTGGACAAATTTCTAATTTTTTGATAAAGCTACTGAGAGGAGAGGAGATCTTTTTTCACGAATGAGGTTTCAGATCACGCGATTAATGCGTGATGCAGGTTTTATATTTTTTTTCGGGGGTGTAATTGCCATGTTATTACGAATTTTTTGTCAGCTGGCTACCAAATCAATAATTTAAAAAAATAGGGTGCAGGTTAAATGTGGCACAAATATAGGTACGGCTGCAAATTCCCCGATGAGAGAAAATGACAATATATAGCCGCTCTAAGACCATCTCCAACCCAACGCCATTTTTAACGCCAAATGCTATTTTGGTGTAAGATTTGGTGTTTTGGTGGTCCAACCCAACACCATTATGGTGTGTGAATAGTGTTACACCAAATTTAGTGTAACAGTGTCAAGACCCCAAACCGGATCCGGTCGTGATGGCGCCTCTCGTGAAGACAAGGCCAGCCGACACAATTTTCCAAGTCAACCATTTTCCATTAAAAGTTGTTTTTATACCATTTATAAACCGTTAATCTCATAATGAACATTTAAAAGAAAAATGCGGAATAATTACACAAGCCCGACATCCGGGTGTCACTAGTCATGAGCATCTACCAAGGTCTGAATACAACAAAAATAGTAAAATGTACTAAGTACAGAAATGAAAATTAGAGGAAGGAAACGGTGCTACAAATGTCGTGCAGCCACCTTGCTAACTCTGATGACTCCGCGTCTGAGCAACCAACACCCGCTACCGGGTTCCGAAATACCTGAATCTGCACACGAGGTGCAGGGAGTAATGTGAGTACTCCAACCCAGTAAGTAATAAGAGTTAATAAAGACTGAGCAGTAGGAAACAATGAATCCACATTTATGTTAAACTCAATAAGCACATAGGCTGCTAATTCAGAATACGAGTCAAACGCCTCTTTTAAAATCCAGCTTTTGGTAAAAAAATCATTTAAAATGCCTTCCGGCAGATTCAGTAGGGGTTCAATACCATTTTTAATAAAAGAGCTGAAAACCATAATCGGCCCGTTGGGCAAAACATAGTTCGTAAACAGCCCCTCGGGCAAAACAAGAGTCATAAACACCTCCTAACAAGAAAATCTCAGTGGAAATAACAAAAGCCAAATCAGTGATTAAGTTCTAAACATCTCATAAACCCCAGCTTAAATGATAGTTGTTTAAAAATATTTATCTAACATTTTTGACAGAGGCTCAGTATAAAGATGAGTGAAAACAGTCATTAAATCAACATATTCGATAGAAACTCACTCTAAAGAGAAGTGAAAATCAATAAGTTCATAATCAGGCCCCTCAGGCAAACATCACTCATGTGCATGTATATATCTATCGCTCCTCGGGCTAGACTCTCAGTCACTCGCGACTCAACTCCTACCAATCAGCCCTCACACTCAGCACTCACGCTCAGTAGGTACCATATAGTAACTGCTGCGGCGTGCAGCCCGATCCATATATATAGTCGACTGCCTTCACTGGGGGTGTGCAGACTCCGAAGGGTCTCCTACAGCCCAAGTGCTATATCGCTGCGGCGTGCAGCCCGATCCATATATATATATATAATATATATATATATATATAATATAATATATTATATATATATATATTATATATATATATATATATATATAGCCCGATCCATAGATATATAGTTCTCACAACCAGGCCCTCGGCCTCTCTCAGTCATTAACCACACAATAAGACTCTTAGTCTATCTCAGTCATCAACCTCACAATCAGACCCTCGGTCTATCTCAGTCATCAACTCACGATCACTCGGACCATCAATAAAACAGGGAACCCAGCCCAAACAGTTTTCACATTTCTAAGAAATATAGTGATAAAACCAGATTTAACAATAACCAATTAAAAACATGACTGAGGATATGCTTTCAAAACAAATAGAGTGAGGAAAAATAGTAAAAATGCCCTTAAGGGTCTCAACAGGTCGGCACAAGGCCCCAAACATGGCATACAGCCCAAAATATAATATCAATCTCTAGAACATAGGATATCATAAGGTTTCAAATCAAATACGCGACTTAACAATCGTACGGGATGGACCAAGTCACAATCCCCAACGGTGCACAACTCCACGCTCGTCATCTAGCGTGTGCGTCACCTTAAAATAACACAACGATGTGTAATCCGGGGTTTCAAACCCTCATGACAGTATTTACAATTATTACTTACCTTGATCCGGTCCAAACTCTAGCCCGCGATGCCTCGCCCGCTGGAATCGACATCCGGATGCTCCAAATCTAGCCACAATCAGTACATAATCATTAAAATATGCTAAGGGAGCGAAGCCCACTCGAAAATATCCAATTTAACATCAAAATCCCGAAATTGCTCAAACCCGGCCCGCGGGCCCACACTTCAAAATCTAACGAAACTCACAAAATCCGACAACCCATTCAAGCACGAGTCCAACCATACCAAAATTACTAAATTCCGATAACAATTCGGCCTCCAAATCTTCAAATCTTATTTTCAAATCCCTAGGTCCAAATCCCCAATTTACACCTCAAGAACATGTAAACTAGTCGGATTATTCGATGATAATTCAATATTATGGAGTAGAAATGATCACAAGTGACTTACCTCAATATTTCCCATGATTTCTTGCTCAAAAATCGCCCCAAGCCGCGTTCTTTCACCAAAAAAATGTCAAAATGAGCAAAAAAAAACGTAACAGCTTTAATAAATCCGATTCTGGTCGCTAAAGGCTTAATTCCCGTCGCTAAAAGGTCCAATCTGGTCGCTAAAAGCTGCATACCAGATCTGATGCACCAACAGTCTTTAATTTCACTAAAATGGCTCTAACTCCATGATACGAACTCGGAATTCGATGATTCTTGTTCCTATGAGTAACAAATAATGATACGAACATAGTCCTTCAATCGAAACTCAATTAAGAGCTTGTTTGCTCAGTGCGATATCCATTTCGCTCGTTAAACAATTAACTCATGATTCGCGTCAAAAACCCAATCGCGACTTGATGAAATTAGACCAAACTTTCCAGATCACTCCTATAATTCATTATCAAAATTTTGGAAGTCTCAAAATCAAATTTCGATCTCTAGAACTAAAAATGGACCTTTGGATCATTACATGCTTATGCTCAAAACGCCAAAATCTTCCAAAAACTCTTCCAAAACATATCCGAGCCTCATGGGACCCCGACCAAACATGCCAACACACCCCATAACATAATTCAAATGTGACGACCCGGCCCGTCGTCACATGAGTACTGCCCCATTTTCCCCATTTATTGCTTCTTCATGTTTCGTTATCGGCATTTGGTGAGTTAGAGATGAATTGGTTTGGTTTTGGTGGAGAATGAGACATTTAGTCTCCTTAAGGAAGGCTTGTGTTGGAAAGGTCAACCGGATGTTGACTTATGAGTTAGAGGGCTCGGATTGGAGTTCCGGTGATTCGGGTGGCTTCGGGAGGTGATTTGTGACTTGGGAGTGCGATCGGAATTGATTTTGGAGGTCCGGTGCAGAATTAGGCTTGAATTGGCGAAGTTAGTATTTTGGCGAATTCCGGTTGATAGGTGAGATTTTGATCCGAGGGTCAGAATGAAATTCCGAGAGTTATAGTAGCTTCGTTAGGTGATTTTGGATATGCGCGCAAAATTTCAGGTGATTCGGAGGTGATTTGGTTGGGTTTTTGATTGAATGTGAGTTTCGGAAGAATTTGAAGAACTTAGGCTTGAAATTGATGGGAAATGAGGATTTTTGTGTTGTTGGATGTGTTTTTAAGGTTGGAACAAGTTTGAATAGGGTATTGGATCATGTCTGTGCTTCTGGTTGAGGTCCCGGGGACCTCGGGGTGAGTTCGGGTGGTTAAACGGGAAG